TTATTAGATGAGTGACATAGTAGCAGTAGCAGTAGTACCGTAGTCGTAATACTGCTCCCTTACGGATATGAAACGAGATACCCTCAAACATTTAACGGCCGTGACGTTGGATATAATGTGGGAAAGGGTCCCATTTCACCGCTCCGACGTGGGAATTGTGGGCGGAGTCTCCACGTCCATTCAGATCGACGACGTCACGAAACAAAAGCCAAGCGGTTTCGGTTTTGCTTTCGACCTTCCTTCCTATAGAGTCCTACTACTCCTAGCCTAGCCTTCCATCTACGTACAAGTTATTCGTAATGATTAGCAGTATAACGTAGCACTGTAATCAATTGGTACTAAGCAGTAAGTAGTAAGTACTACTGCTGCTATATCATAAAGTAGTAGTATAAAATATGCGGGGTTTGTAGTGCGTAGTAGATGATGGATGGTCGAGAGAGTATTGGATTGGAGGACGGAAATTCCAACGCGCACCCGAACCCAGAGTAGACTGTACTGTAGAGAGCCAGAGCGAGAGTGTCTTTTTTTTTTTTTTTCTTTGCTTAAAATATATATACACACACACACACACTCGTAAGTCGTAACTCGTAAGAAGAAGACAGACAGAAAGAAAGAAGGAAAGAAATTAAGGAGGGGAGGGAGGGGGCAGATCTCTAAGATGATGAATGGACGGATGAGCAGGTGGCAGAAAAGAGAGGGGGCAGTCCAACACCTGGCACCTTACCCACACCACCTCACCTCATCTCCCGTCTGCAATGCATCCGCCATACATACCATTCTAAGCAGTCTTCCTTCCTTCTCCTTCTATATACGTACCTTCTGCGTGTAATGGCTTCTGCATTTTGCACCATCAATCCTCTACATTCCCACAATCCCTCTATGCATTAAGCCAATAAAACCTCAGCTTGCCTTGTATATATATATACATATACATATATATATATATATATATAACTGCTACTACTTGCTAATTAAGCTAGGCTACCATAGTGGCCTATTGTACTAATGCAGACGAAATCCAACAATATTATGATTAATTAATTCACAGCCACAACGTACTCTCCACTCTTAACTAACTAACTAACCTGTCACTAATTCTTTTAAATTATACTATGTATATATATACATATGTATATAGCTTACCACGCAACGTCATATACTAGTAGTGGAGTGGAGTATATATTATCAATTTATGTACCTCTCCAAAATGACCAGTTAAGCTATAAGCTAAGCTGCACGCCTACTTCAACGCAACAATTACACTACTACTTTCAAGTGCAGGATATGCTACGTACTATCATCTATATACAGTATTCAAGGAAAACTGAGACCACTACTGTTGGTACTAGTACTGGTGCATGCTAGCCGCTGTTGTAATGTTGTATGAGAAGCTATTAATTACTACATTCATCACATAATTAACTTAAGAGTCCTCCCTCCGAATCCAAATTAGTCCAGGAGATGAATTAATTGGTAGCTACATAAATACATATCTAATAATAATCATGTAGAGGTTCCAAACTAGCTATTTGAGGCATGTACGCTACTGGTATCATTATCATATACTACTACTACTACTACTACTACTACTACTACTACTACTACTACTACTACACACTGAGAAGGATGATCAACGAGTAATGCTTAAATCACTCAAAACTGAGAAACGCCACCTTGGATAATGAACGGTACGGTGCAGCACAAATGTCAGTAGGATTTTCTTTTCTTTTTTTTTTTTAAAAAAAAGAAAATCCTTGTAGTCTTCGCTCTTCACGTACATCCTTTTGCCGAGTTCCGGACAAATGCATCCTACTGTTCTCTTTTTCTTTTTCTTTTTTCATTCAAAATGAAAAACAAGTCCCCCATATATTTATCGATCACTTCATCATCAACTTGTTCTTCTCTGTCATTATTAATTAATACAAGTAGAGAGTATCAGTGCATCTCTATCTCCCCAACTTCCCCTCCTCACCATAACTCGCCTCTCTTTTTCCACAACACAACTCTCTCACTCACAAACATCAGAGCCAAGAAGAAAGGCACCAGAAACCCAGGGGGAGCAGGAGGGGGGGGGGGGAGTAAAAAATAAAAAATAAAACTACCACCACTACTACTACTACTTATACTGCTAATGCTGCTGAAAAAGAGATACCACTATCCACTAGTAGAAAACTAGAAGAAGAGAGAGAGAGAGGCCAGTCACAAGTCACAAGAATTCACAGCCCTACGGCCCCCTGCCCAGTGGCCGGTTTGCAGGACTAAACACCACAGTTGCAGCTAGCGCAAAGGCTTTTAGACATTTAACATTATCATTTATCATCATCCTATCCTCCAGGATCATCATGGACATGGAGACAACCGAGGCCTATGGAATGGTGTCAAGTGCGACCGAATTGTTGAGCTTCGTAACGAAGCAAGCAGTGGAAAATACCAACAACCCCGGACATTTTGATCATGGGGTCGTGGTCCCTGGCGGCGCGGCGGGAGGATCAGGTGGCCTGGGAAGTAGCAGTGGTGGTAATGTGGGTGGTGGCCCGGGAAGTACAGGTGAGGGCAGCTTGAAGATGAATAGCGGTCAGAAGAAGAAAAGGATTTCCAGAGTGAAGCGGTCTTCAATGAGCACCTTGCGTCTCCCCTTCGACACCACCACTAGTAGCTCCAATGCCTCTCAATTTGTTCCCGCACGTGTAAGCTTTTTTCTTTTCCTTCCTTTTTTATTTTTAACTAAACCTTCCAGCTGGGACCATTTCTTGCTTTCTCTCTTAACACCCTCTCACTCACTCGCCTTCCTACTCTGCTGCTTTTCTTTTCCTTTTTTTTTTTTTTTTTTTTATAAATTTTAAGAACAAATACTACTAGTTCGTACCCCAACTCCTCCTCCTCCTTTTTTCCTCTGTTTGTTCTTTGTTGTAGTTTCATTTCATATACAGGTTCTTTTTTTCTTTTTTTTTTGGGGGAAGGGGGGTTGGTGGGGGTTAGGGAAAAAATATAATAACTTTCTTGCTTTTTTTATCTCTCCTTTTTTTTAAAAAATAAAAAATACAAAAATCTCCATCGGGTTTCCTCATGTGGGAGTGGGGGCTCTGATTTTGGTCTGTCTGGTGATTGATGCGTGGAAATTGAGTTGTCCGGAACCCGAATGCTACTGGTACATGGATGATGGATGATGGATGACGGATGACGGCGTCTGATTATTATGAGCAGTATTTATTTTCGGTTTATGTAAACCAAGTTTGGGGTGGTGGTGGCAGGGCTATTGATTGCAAATAGTAGTTTGTGTAATGTAAAAATCTGTATGTATACTCCATTCCATAGGATAGGAGTAGTAACTTACTAAGTAGCAGTAGTAGTAGTAGTGTGTTTTTTACTGAAGAATACTAGTAGTATCATGGGGTAGTAAGTAGGAGGCGGGAGGGCGGGCTGGAAATAATAGGAGACTTGGGCGGGTGGGCGGTGTTTCCTTGTTGGATTGGTAGGGGCGGCGGGTGAAGAAACCACCCGAATAGCGCAACCCATTGAGAGTGAGAGTGTGTGTGTAGTATAGCAGCAGTAGTTAGTAGTTATATTAGTGATAGAAAAGAGTAGCAGCGGTAGCAGCAGCAGTGTGTTTGGTACAATTAAGCAGAGGAAGCAGTGGTAACTTCAGATGCGTGTCATTTTGTGACTGAGTCCCTCTCCAATGTTTGCCTCTTTCTCCCACTATTTTTTTTCCTTCCTAAAAAAAATAAAAAATAAAAAATTTGAAAACAGAAATAAATCTGTCCATTTGTTGTTGTCTTACCAATTTGGACTCAGGTTGTTTGTCGATCTTTGTGGGGAACAGTGCACTGCACTTTCCCTTCGTTAGTTTCTAACTTTCTTTTCTTTTGTTTCCTTTCTCTCTTCCCTATTTGACGAGGCGGTGCTGCTTACGATGATCGGTTTCTTCCTTCTCTTTCTTTCGTTCGTTGTGGGGTGGGTGAGGGGTTGCTTGGCTTGATACTGTACGTAATTCTTTCTCAGGCTGGAAACGGTGCCTAGATTCTGTGTCTGTGGATTTTTGACGAGGATCCCTTCTTTTAATTAAACTATTCAAAGTAAGAATTTCGTACTGGGGTGGATGCACGCGTCGGTTACCCGCTCCGTACCTCATTTGACTGATCCAACCGACACCTTACGGCTCAGGTATTTTTTAACCCTTATCCACTCCATACCTTTCATTGGGGTTGATCGATTACCCGCTCCGTACATCATTTGACTAACCTAACAGACACACCTTACGGCTCATGCATTTTTTTTTAACCCTTATCCGCACATATATTCAATAATCGGGTGTCCGCTGAAATAAGGTTAGATTAACGGATACCTCGTCCCCACTCCGCTCATCATTTAAATTTTTTTAAAAAAATAATTTATATTAATTTAATTTTGTGTATATTACATATTTATCCAAAATTTAATGAAGATTTTTTCTAAAAAAAAAAAAATTTCTACCAAGAAACAAATATGAGAAGAGAATATAAGAAAAAGGAAACAATTCAAAGAATTCAAAATCAATGAAAATTTGAAATAAATAATATCTTTTTTTAAAAATATATATTACACATTGATTAAACTCTTTTTTAAAAAGTATAAGATCGTAACCTTTACAAATGAATCTTGTAAACAAATTATAATCACCGATATTTTTAATATAATTTGTTTAATAAAATTATTTATTTAGCTTCAAAAATATTATTTTGTTGTATGTGTGTGTGTAAATTTTAATCATGTGATTCTAAACCGCACCGTGTCTAAACCAAAGAAAAAATATTAATAAACAACTCTTTTTAACCTACTTGTACTGATGTTCCATATCAAAGACGGGAATGGGGGGAACTTTTCGTTAATACCCAGGAAAGAACAATCCTAATCCATTGACCACCATTAAAAATAAAAATAAAAATAAAAATAAAACTGGACCAAAACCAAATCACCAAATATATATATATATATATATATATATATATATATAGGTAGTACGACGCACAGATACAAAGGCGCACACACACAGACACACACACTCTACAGTCTACTCCCATCCCATCATCCCATGTTAGTGAAAGCACTCAGCACAGCCTTGTTTCAGTTTCACACACAGCTTTGAACTCAACGAAGGACACAGGACACACTACTCTGTTTCCCGTTGTATTCATCACGCTACACCAGGAGAATCGAGATTAACGTTAGAAACCGCAAGCAAGAATATTTTGTTTTTCAAGTGTACCACAGTCCATGATACCAGTTTCGCCGCTGAAGCTGCCTTGCTCCTGCCGGTTAAATACACATCAACTCCAATCGGAACGATTCTGGTTGGTCCACGGCAGCCCCCCCCCCTCTCCCAGGGGCTTATGAGTTGGTGATAATAATCAGTAAAGTCCAATTCTACCTAGTACCCAATTGATCCTCCTCATTCTAGTATAAGATCCTGTTTCTTCATTACCAGTTTCCTTCATTTTGTTTGTAATTAGTCCTTGTCATTGGATTGTCATTCTACGCGTGTTGCTTGGATTTTATTGCAGCTTACCTGCTTGAATTAAAGCACTGAAATTCTGTTGCGTCTTTCTGTGAAATTCGGCCCTTGGCTGAACCAGTCATACAAGGTACATGGCTAGGTATTATCAGCTGCTGAAACGGAAGGCCGCAGCAAACAGTTTACCGGTTCATCACTTGAAGCACGGATCGCGGCATGCAATGCACTTTTCTTTTTCTTTTCCTTTTTTTTTTTTGTTATTCTTTTAGTGCAACTTAATGGAGCTATTAGCTCCATTATGGTTCTGTCTAACCAGCTGTCAAATCTATTAGGAAATTGTGATCTACAGAATGATATGATATTACTAGTGTGTTCTGTGCTACCACTTCTGTGTTGCTGTCCATATCTGTAGTTGTACTTTTTAAGGTCATCATCTATAGCATAAAAACTTGCAGTTCCTGCAAAACTATCAGTGAAGTGTTGCTACTGTCCTGAGAGCTGGTAATTTGTGGATTACTATTGTATGTCGACAGAAGGCCTACCTTCCTGGCTTCACCCCTTGATTATGGAATCCGCTATTGTGGTACAGTCAGATTGTAACATCAATGAAGAGGATCCAGAAACCCAACATTTATAGCTGTTAATTGTAATATGAGCAAATGTAGAACTGGGGAAGAGGTGGAGGTTTTGCCTAGCACTCACTCATAGGCTATACGATCCACTCGCAGCATTTTTACTTTGCAGAGGGTCGGAGAACATGAATAGATTGGATCCAGAAAACTCAACACTTGCATTTGTGATATGAGGAAATGTAGGACTAAGGCTGAAGTGGAGGTTCTGCTGAATGCTTCCTTAGAATTATTCGCTCATAGGCTACAATAGCATTTTTACTTTGCAGTGGATCCTTTACTCAAGTGCTTTAATCTTCTTGTAAGTGGATTTTTGGCGGCGGTCAAAATTCATATGCCACAGCAGTTAACTCAGACGCCTTCTGTCAGAAACTGCCGCTACAAGTATATTCTGTAACCAGTTTCTGCAACAGTTGAAGATATATAGTGGCGGCCAGGAACGTGCCAGGGAAAAGTTTCCCACTTTGCAAATTCCTATTTGGTCGCACAAAATTGGCTGGCATGTGAGGTTGCTGCTGGAATTATTTAAAAGCACCTTTTTCTGTGTTTAGGAGAATGAAAGACATGCAGCAGAGGTCAGGGATAGGTTGGCAGAATCTTTAGCAGGAGTTACCAATTCTCTAAGTTGCTTCAGTGTTGTGCAACATGTGAAATGGCCCATTGGGTGACTAGTTGATCATATCCGTCATCTTCATTTTGTGTCGTTCTGAAAGTAGTCCTTCTAATGGTTTGTTATGTGCACTTTAAGCGGCGGCCAGGCTAGCGCCACCACTATTTGGAAAATTCTTAATTGATTAACTGCTTTAAGTTAGTGAAATGCTAGTTTAGAATTAAGTGGTCAATAGGTGCCCTGTTTATTTTGGTTGCTCTTTTTTCCAGCAAATTCTGCGCATTAACTGATTCATATCTGTTGCTCTTTATTTCTGGTGAATTTGGTCTTTGTATGTTAAATAATTTAAGGTTGCTCCAAAAAGTAAGTAGTTTTGATTTCATGGCTTTATGCTTTAGGTAATTGATCCAACAAGGCTCAGATTTCTTTTTGAAAAGGAGCTTCAGAGAAGCGATGTTGGCCCTCTTAGGCGGATAGTTCTCCCAAAGGTAGGCATTTGGATTTTCTCCCCTTCGGTTTGGTGTTTTTGTATTGTTACATTAAGTACTTTTCCATGATGCTGTATTTTAATGCAAATGCTGATTCTACTTGTTAATGTGATGGATTCAGAGAGCAGCCGAGGAATATCTTCCTGTACTTGAGTCCAAGGAAGGGATGTTCATTACCATGGATGATATGGATGGTAATCATGTTTGGCGACTCAAGTTTAGGTAAGAACTTTCTGGCTTCTTCATCTTGTATGCTAAGGGGTCATCTTGACTAGCTTTTTGATTTTATTATTTTCACAGGATTCCCATGATCGACCAAGCTTTTTTGTTTGATCATCATATTCTCTTGTAGAAACCATATCATAACTCAGGATGACTGTAACTCAAAATCTAGACACTCAGCTTGTTCCCTACCATTGCTTTGGCTCTAGGTTCAGCGAAACTAAGGCCTTGAAAGGTTTAGGCCTGATAATATTCTCTCATTTGAATTGAATGTCTTTGTTGAATGACTATTATGAGGTGAAGCATTCTTACGTGGAACATTGGTTGATCTTTCTAGAGGTAATAGAGCGGTCATTGTTAAAATGTTCTCCTTCATAATGCAGATTCTGGCCTAACAACAACAGTCGAATGTATCTGTTTGAGAACACAGGTGCCAATTTTAGAGCCTTTTTATGACGTCTTTTATGTGCTATTTGTGGATTTCTTTGGTCAAACTCACTTGAGGACATGTAAAATCTCTTAAAGGGGTATTTGTCAAGACTCATGGCTTACGACATGGAGACTACATTGTTCTGTATCAGGATTTGGTGGGCCGCAACTATGTAAGCAGCAATCACCCTCAATCTTGACCATTCCCCATGAAATCCACTGTTTTACACTAATTTGAGATTTGCGTTAAGGCTGAAACCATTCTCCTGATTTTTGATAGGTCATTCAGGCTAGGAAAGCATCTGATTCGGTTGTACATGATACTTCTGGACATGGAGCTCAAGGCATCCTAAGTGATTATGCAGCAAGTGATGTTGTCCAGGGCCCTGAGTCGGAGATAAATGCATCCGGATATATCCCTGAGATGTTCCCTCCTGTGAATGAGATGGGTGACATGTCCTTCATATACGACACTAGCTTCTCAAATGACTCCCCACTCGATTATCTGGGTGGACCGATGACTGACTTCTCGAGGGTAGGAGGACATGAATCAAACTTTGGATCGATCGACAACTTGTCTCTTGACGATTTCTTCTGACTTTATCCTCTAAAATGGTGCAATAGGAATAAGATGTTGTATGCTGGCACTGGTACTACTTGCTAAGCTACTCTTTCCAATAAAACTCGGAAAAGAAGATGGGGAATGTATGTTGTGAACTTATAGCCCTGCGTATATATATGTTCGCAAATGTATGTTATCAGGAATAAAGTTGTGAAATACTACTACTATTACTCTATTGCTGTGGACTATATTCTGAGTTCCCGGAACTGCAAAATAGCCATTTCAGCTTTTATTATTCCCAAGGCCAGATGAGAGTAATGGCAACTGTAGGATGTAGGACGATCGCAGTCCAGAAAAAATATATATATACACGAATATCTTCCTATTCATAGCTATCTTCATTCATCCATTCGATACAGTTTATTGAATTGATGTTTACCAGGTTGTCTAGGTAATACTTCTGACTGGAGAACAAACATTAAAATGAAGCCAGTTAAGAAAGTAAGGAGATATGCTGGTGCGTCCAAAAGCTATGCCTGTTCTGCACTGCAATCTTCTCATGCATTTGACTTGACTGCTGCTAAAACTCTGTCCTTGTGGCAAATAGCATCCATGAAACGCGGTACGCTTAAATGTCTTGAGAAGAAGATTGCATTCATATCGTACTCGAAAGCTAAATGTCTAACCATGACAATAATATATTATATAGTAGTAGTACTCTACTTAGTACTACATTAGAGAAGGAACAACACGCTGCAGTTATTTACCCATAGCTTGTCGGTATTTTTTTTTTTTTTTTTTCAAAAATTTATGAGTAAATTATTTATCTTTCTTTTTGAGATAAATTTGCAAGCAAAATATTATTTATTAATCTCTCAAAAACAATTATTTATCTTTCTTTTTCTTTTTCCCAGGAGAGAGAAAACATTTGACTGAGGCTGTGTGTTTGACACCCGTGAGTCGTGACCAGGGGTTGGGCTGTTATCCCCTCTAAAACACTACACGCGGTGCGGGAAACGGTTTTTTAAGTATCACTCCGGAGAGGCCATCCAAATTTTAAACCTCGTCCGCCGTCAACAAACAAACCAGGTATTGATATCTTGATTCTCATCTGAACATGGAATAATAATACTAGCAACATTTTGCCCCCTGTTCCGAGCTTGTGAAGAATTAAACATAACGTATCTAAAATGACGCCGCCCCAAAAAAACAAAAAAAGCACAATATATTTGATAATCCCCTTTCTCGTAAAAACTCCAAGAAGACTAAATGACAAACAGCAAAATTGAATACACGTAGAACCATTGTAAAAAATGATATGGATACACCAGCTGTATCTTTGCTTCGAGTAGATGGCCAGAAGCCACCGGCACCAGAATTCTGCACATTATTTCTAAGTCATTCATTGTTGTGATGACAAGTATCACCGACAATCCTGTTTCTATTTCTACAAAACTTTCTGAAGGTCAACAATTTGCGGAGATTCTAAACCTCCAGGAATCCAAAATCATCATCGAAATTCAACAATTATGTCTGAATTCTATAAAGGATCATTAATTAAGTGCATCAGCTACTCAAAAATTATTAATCCCTCCCTTGGCTTAATCTCAATGTCTCCAAACAGCTTAGGAAATGTTCAGCTGAGCCTACACCTTTGCAAGCTCAGTGGCAGGGACAGCTGCTGGTGCAACACCACCGGTCGTCGGCCTGATATAACCATCAACAATTAACCAAGTCAGCTCTTCCAAAGAAATCAAACACGCCTTAAGCTTCACAAGACAAGAGAGTCATCCTCACATAGCAGCAAAATGAATCACCGTCTTAAAACACAATGGGGTACCATGAGGTGCAATCATAATTGACAATGTCCAAAACATTGGTTAAAAAAAAACTTACAGTCCAACAAAAACTTTGAAAGCATCATAGATTCCCCATTGGGCTCCAGTAAGAGTTCCAATCATGACAATACGCAGAGGAAGTCCCCGAGTGAAAAGACCCCAAACGCCAAGCTTTTTCACGGCCTACAGATTTCAAATAAGAGCATGACAAAAGAATAAATTAATATTTTTTTATAGGAGGGGAGGAAGAAGGGGGAAGTGGGAGAGAGCAGGTAGCAGCAAGGCTTGTCAACTCACATCACCAACAGTAGCATCCTTGGCATTGTTGAGGAATGAGACAAGATTATCAGCAGGGTGAGATACAATAGCACAGAAGACACCAGCCACATAACCACCAGCAAAGCTCACTCCAAGCTGCAGAGTTTTGCTGCACTCATTCTTAGGTGTAGGGATACCATGCTTGTAGATCATTTCCACAATAGTCTCAAAAGATGCAAACTTCATCATTGTATCTGCAGATAATTTGTGTCAATTCAGCAGTACAGAAGTCACAGTGAATTACCAGTGTAATTTCATTGGGTAAGACTACTAAGGTGAAAGAAAGGAGGATCTACCAAGAAACCAGAAACAAGATTGGAATTTTACATCCCTGAAAAAACCATCAGAGTTCCAGCCACCAGATCCAACTAACCGCAATAGTGCATATTTATTTGAGGTTTTAATCAAGTTATGATCAACCTTATCAAGACACAAGGATATCTTTATGGGAAAGATCACTGATAGCTTCCTTAATTGAAGCCTTTCCATATCTTCTTTATGATGCTTCTTGTGTGGGAAGGGGGTAATTGAGGGAGGAGAGATCAGCAACACTAGGTCCAAAACCATCTTGTAAATGTTTCAAATAAGCTAATTCATTTTTTATAAGAAAACTAAGAATGAGATGCATACCATATCATATATGTAGAAAGTATCAAGTATAACGTTTCACCATGCAAATATAGCTCTTCACACAACTAATTGGACGTGACCGCGCGCTTCCCTCCGGGATACATGAATCATTCTTCTTAATGTTACAGAAGCAGTGTACAATCCATATTAACAGATAAGATATTTTCATCAATGCCAAGACTCGATACTTATGACAAAAGGCTGCGTAACATAACAGGACGCTATTTTTGCTTTGCTCTACATTGCCACATAACTCAAAAAAGATCAATAGATATGAAATCTACATCAGCAGCAATTGACCTTTGACATAAAAGGACTGCTAAATAACCCACATCAGGCATGATTAAAAATCAAGAACCTATCAATGGAGTTAAAAACACTTTTAACTACCACGCTGGTCAGAAAGTACTGACAGATGCACATTTACAACCACCAGGGACAAAAAAAAAAACGCAGCAGCTACATCTATTCATGGTCGCAACCCCATAAATGAGTAAATTAACTTGATTGGAGAAAATATCAGAACTTCAGCTGGTTGGGCGTAGAGAAAAAATTCATGGTCAAAGAATAAAAATAAAAATAAAGAAAAACTTGCAAAGGGGGGGGGGGGAGGGGGGAAATGCGTAAAGGAAAAATCCGGTAAACAAGACAAAAAAGAGACAAAGATGAATTTGCAGCAAACATGTAGTACAACTCCTAAAACCGTGGGAAAAAGAAAACCCTAAACAAGAACATGTAAAGAAGCAAAACAAAAGGTTATTTTGCATATGCCTCAACTTACATGGAATTTGACGACCCCAAAGAGGAACCAATCCTATGTACAACCTGAAAAAGTTGACAAGACATAAAAGCTATTTGCATCTATCAACTTTGAGCCTGAGATCAGTTTAAAAATGACAAACAAGCACATGACATACCCAAGAGCACCTTCAGACTTGACGAACTTGGGAAGTCCATCGGATAATCCTCTAGCAAAACCAGGCTGAGTCTGAACGCGAACCTTTACAGCCTCAAAGGGGCAAAGAGCAATGTCAGCAATGAACTCCGCAGAAGCTGAGCCAGCAAGGTAGATGAGAGTCTTGTATTTGGAGGCATACTCGGGACCAGCAATGTCAGAATAGTACTTCTTGAAGAATTCATAGAATCCAAACTTGCAGGCGCCCTGGGCACTGTAACCAAGCAGGGTCGGGACCCATCCCCTGAAGAATCCCCTGATTCCTTGTTCTCTCAACAAGACTCCGAAACCAGATGAAATGCTCTTGTACTTAGATGGGTCAATCTGACACGTAAAAAAATGTCAGTTAAGTTGACACAGAAGATCACAAGATGTGTACTAAAGAAAGGAGAATCAGTTAATCAGGTGGAACAAAGCTTGCCAGGAAAAGAAAAAGAAACAAGAAAACCAGATCCATTCAAGCGCGCATACCAGAACCCAATTTGAAAGAGAAACTGTAGCGCAAGCAACATATCATTAGAAGAATCAACTGAATAAAAACTGATCCAGATTTGACAAACTTAAGATAACATGGGACGAAGCTTTCAACTAGGAAAGAGGTTAACATAAGCTAATCACAGATCCACAGACCAGTAAAAGAAAAAAAAATAAAACTTGATAACTATGAAAGGAAAATATTGGTTTTTTTTGTGGGGATACAGCAAAAAGGGCAAAAATAGATCTACTGATAATTTAAAAAGAAAAACATAAAATAAAAAAGGAAGAAACAGATAAGTAAAGACATAAGCAGGTCACAAACGAAAGGGAAAAAAACATAGATGCAAGTAAGAGTGTGGTAATATGAAGTAGATCTGAAGACAAATTAGATAGTAAAAAGGGAAGGGGAAGGGGAATAGATCTGGGGTAAAGTGGTTTTTTTTTCTTTTATTGGGAGGAAGGATTGAGAGAGAGAGAGACAGACCTGCATATTACATTTGACGAGGTCAAGAGGAGTGACAGCCGTGTGGGTAAGACCGCAGCTCAAGATTCCACCAACGGTACAGGCAGCGTAATATTGCGAGGAATACAACTCGACCTTGCCGGGCTCGGAGGGGGCGGGGATGGCAAAGGCGGTCTTGGGGAGGAAGATGAGGGAGAGACGACATCTTTGGAAGGGAGTCAAAACCACCTAGGGTTTTAGAAGTCAAAGGAGAAGAAGAGTAAAGGAAGGTTGGAATGAGAGATTGACGGGGGGAACGATCGGGGAATGGGAGAGCCATGGCGGGTGAATCAGAACAAGAGACAGAGATCTCCGTACGCGAACCAAAAAATTTTGAAGAGATCCCTTCGCCTTCGATATCGATCTCTATCTCTCTGTGTCTCTGTGTCTCTGTCTGTTCAAGGCTCTTCGACGGAAACCAGGAAAATGAAAAGCAGCTGCCCTAAATACCTGCGCCCTCCAAAACATTTGGCCCTCTGCGTCGTTTATGGGCAGGCAAACCCTCTTCCCTCCCTCCTCTTTTCTCGCTCCTCGTTTACCAATTTGGACCCCACCAAATTCTTTTCCTTCTTTTTTTTTTTCTTTCCCCATCTCCGGCCCTGTCTCCAAATTTCCATCCATACCCCTCCACTCTACAGTGATGAGTGATCACACAAGGTATATTCCCTTTTTTTTTCATTTGAGGAAAAAAATATTTTTTTTGTGCTAGATTTCCTTTTTTTTTCTCTCTCTCTCTCTTTGTTTTCTTTTGATCTCTTCTTAATTTTGTAGACACTTTTTTTAGTCCCTGTTTTATAAAAAAATATTTTTTTTAACAGAAAATTCGTTTGCTGTTGATATCGAATCAAATGGTCCTGCCCACCAATAAATAACAAAACTGGCGCACAAAACAGAGAGAAGAGTTTGCCAATGCAACGGTGGGAGCGTTGGCAGAGTCAGCAGTCAGTCATTGAGGAGTCAACTGCTACTAATAAGTATATATATATATATACTAGGCCGGGAATGGCCGTGCATCGCGCGGGTGTTTGGCGCGTATGATTAAAAAGAATTTTTTAAATGTATGTGGTGAGCAATTAAATAAAGATAAAACTAAGATAACAACACATATTAAGTAATATTAAGGAAATATAGCTTCTGCTGAAACCATTATAAAATGCTGAATGTAAAGGCTGAAAAAATAACACAGGCTTGGAAGTCGAAATGGAGAAAATTGAAAAATGTGAAGGAGGAAAAATTGAAAGAGCCATAACTGAAGCAGTAGACAATAACTCAGCAGTATATCCACCTTATTGGGCGTTTAATTGGGATGTAAATAGTATTTTTTGTTGGTAGAAAAGTTGTTTCAAGGCCGAGCTTATAATTATTAGTGTTGATATAATTATGAATGTTTCAAACAATTGAAATGGAGTTATATTGCAATTACTGAGGTTATAATTACATGGCTCTATTAACATAATAACCCCATTTTGGTAATTGTACAAAAACACAACTTATATGAATTAGACCAAATGCACAAATGATTGTCAAATAAGCCCATATTCCATAAATACCCAGATGTGTCTATAAATACAATATTTAAATGTACAAACATGGGGCTTTAATGTAAAAACAATTAAACACATGCTGCAATCAGTTGCACTAAAAGGTTGAAAAAAGTAACACATTTTTCAAATTCCCAAAATACCTCCACCTATGCAGTTGAAATTGAACTTCCTCTTTTGACCAATACTCAATCTTATATAGTATAAGTAATATATATATATATATATAAGAGGAGGAGACATATTCAGAGTGTTGGGAGGGAGATGTGCATATTTTAGCCATTCTCTGCTTGTTAAGCTGTTTATTATGGTTGAAGCAGAGTTGACATTTTTTTTATCGCAACGATAGGATTCCTATAACCTAAACTAATCTAATCTAAGGGGAGGGGGAGGGGACTCGATGTGACAATGACCCAAAATCTTGTCAGAGTTGAACTAGCACATGACCCATCAAGAACCCAAAATCTGACCATGACCCAAAACTTGAAGCTGAATCTGAAACCCGAAGCTCTGATATCAGTTTGTTAGGTTTGGTCCCAGGAAATTGACCAACGAGAATAATGTGATTCGATCAAAATGACTTACGTCCACGGGTGAAGGGGTAACGGATTTACTATAACAGAAAGAAAGTACAAAAGAGGAAGTACAAAACCCTAGGAAATAATTCCTTAGTCCAAAAGCCACCTAAAACTGAAAATAAAAGAAACTAAATAGCACTAAATGCTTAATGATCCAAAGGCCCATGACTTGCTCTTTTGGTTTGATGCCAAACCAAAACTCCTCTCAAATTGGGGTACGAACCCCCTAAAATTCTCTTGGATTGGCGCACATGGCACTAGGGCTGGTGCCCAAGTGCCATGTGCTAGTTTAGGTTATGCTAAACTAGCATAATCATGTACAGAGTTGACATTTTTTTTTGTCGATGTGAATAGAAACTCCGTCGAAAATAATCAACGAAAACCTTCACATATTGTGACAATTTTTGATAGGAGGCAAGGATCGAACTCTTGACCTCCCAACACCACCAAGCCTTAGAAGGCTGGACAATGACCACTGGACGTTGAAGCAGAGTTGATAGTAGACCAGAAATATGCATACATTGATCCACGGCCTAACAAAAAAACACGAAGTGTAAATGGTCAAATTGGATTTGGATCATTAGCGCTGTGCATGCCCCAAAAAAAACTTGGGGTTTAAGAAAACAGGGAGAGAAAGATAACCCTAAATTGGTATGCTGGTAGTAAAAAAAAGAATACTGTCTGATTCCAATCAGAAGCATCATGAAAATAATTTTAACATCCTCACTGGAAAAATGCAACTCCTCCTAAACGCCGCCTTTCCCCCAAAAGAAAAAAATAATAATAATAACTACTACTATATCTCCAAAATTTTGTTTGTCCTCCCAATTACAGTACACCATGACCAAGTAGTACCTGTCTCACTGTGATGACAACACCTTATTGTTTACCCCACAAAAAAAGCTAGTAGTAGTAAAAGAATCACTCCAAGGCCATCCATCCATCCATCATCCCGCCATTCCCCCCCCTTCCACCAACAATTTGTTTTCTCTGGAGTGTCCAAAGCCTGGAAATAATTTTTAGCCAAGATTACGAGAACCAAATTAAAATCCTTGCTGCTTTCCACCCTGTGCCGACGATCCTCTCTTCTACAAGTACAACAAATACAATTAGCCCCCCCCCCCCCCAAAAAAAAACCAAATGCTACGAGCCAGGGAGGGACCAAACTCCCCTCCTCTTGATGGCAGATTGACATCCAATCCCCCCACAGCGACCATCTTTTAACTAACTAGAGAAGTCTAAGGTGGGCAGTATCGTTCAATCTCTTTATTTGCCAACCCATTTTCCACGAGTGCTGTAAGACCGTAACTGAAGAATCTTCGATCCAGAGTTTATGTGACATCACTGAACCGCATCCGAGGATGCCTGTAAGGAGACACTTTATTGGCACCGAGTGAGTAAAAACACCAACAGATGAAGAGGCACACGATGCGGTGCTCCTGACATTGATGTCTCGAATTAGGTCTTGATTCGTGGGTTGTCGAGGAGACATCTCATCATCAGCCTCGTGATCTCCAGTGGAGGTAACAATCTGTAGCCTGCTCTTACCAGACTTCTTCCGTGGAAACCCCTGTCGATGCCTGTGTACCAAATCCCAGTTAGCTGGATGGAGCGAGAGTCCATCTCTGTCATGAATGGAGTTAGTATATACATGAGAGCTGCGATGTGGAAACCCCTGCGTCTCACACTGATCTGGCGGTGACAAGTCAGATCCGAATTTTTCAGGCAATCGCAAAAGAGTTCCATTTAGGAACTGAACCATTCGAAATTCAACCTGCCTCAGTGATTCTCCAGATGGTGCAGAAAAATCAGGCTGTAACCTTTCTATGAAGCTCAGAGTTTCAGGTGTATATATTTCTGATCGGTGGCAACCCTCCCAATGACCCTGACTCATCTCCATAAGCACATCAGAAGATTGTATCTGTTCCTCCGGAAAATTTAATTCCTGCATCATTTAATGCATCACCCAGTTCAGCAGAAAGCAAGAAGCAATTTGTACGGTTTTAACTGCCACTACTAGCATATTACACCTAGAGATTTCCAGATTAGCTAGTAATAGTTGTTCATCGCAAGATGTTGCTCAGACCTAAGACAAAAATTAAAGCCAAGACATATAGCTAATTCAACTGACCAAAACCTTGGGTCAAACTTAATCACCTTATTATATCCAATTTTATCAATGAGCACCATCATAAGCCAATCAATGTCCAGTTCTGATATGCCTTTGATTTTGTCTGAGTATATTACAATTTACCTGCCACAACTTCACTGGCAATACGGTCTTCCCACTCTTTGTTATTAGTTCATTTTCCCAGACTCATTTATATATTCAAGAAAGCTATGGATCTATATCCCATCTTATTTACAAGTTACAACACACTGGAAATGCAGAGACCAAGATATCAAGATCACCCAGAACTACAACTAGATGTCATAACCTGATTGAAGAAACTAAGCGCCAGTTGTAGGGCTGTTCAAACCAACCCGACCCGACCTGAAATTTCTTGGTACCCAAACTGCTTTTGAGAGCCGGGCAAGTTAAGGTTCAGGTTAGTAGCTACACGGGTCGGTTTGCAGTTAACCTTTTCTTTTCCTCTCTCTCCTTTCCGTATGGAAAGTTAACTATGTAAATTTATTTATCAAAACCAAAAATCAGGTCTAATCATCTCTCAAAAAAATTTTATGTGAGATGATGTACATTATTATTTCAACAATATACCGTTGTTAACTTTTTATTAAAAGTTAAACTTGTTAATTATATAACTTCTCATTTTTTGTTGCTGTACATCAATGTTATTTTAAAATTTTGGTTAGATGAATATATAAGGGATGATAGCTATGGAATCATTGTTAATTTTAATAATGAACAAATAATGTTGTAGAATTTTGGTTAGTTTTTAATCACTTATTGTTTTAAACATAGACACCGGGTTGGGTACATATGAGTACCCGAACCAGTGGGTGCCTAAACCATTGTGCCAGGTACCTGACGTGGGGGCAGTTACGGTTTGACTTTGTGTTGAACCGTTAGAATCAAGTCCTTCACAATTTTGCTCTGCGGCCCGACCTGTGAACACCCTAGCCAAGCAAGTAGTCATGTTTGAACTCTATCTCAAAGACGCAGTAGATGAATTCCCTAGAGTATCTCTACATAAAGCACAAGGGAAATCTTATCTTCAGAGATATTAAACCAAAATCTCTGATACAGTGTTCTGTCTTAACAAACTTAGCCAAGCAGAGATTACTAGCAAATATGTCTTCTTTTCCACAAGCACATGTAGTACTTGATACAGCAAGCTTTGGCCGGACGCACAACAATTTGTGGCATTTATTTGACAATTCATAGAATGTACAAGAAAAAGTTGCAGGAGAACCCACAATGAACAAGGAAAAAAGGGTAGAGTGTTGGCTGAGAAAAATAGAGAAAAACCTTTTGAAATAAAACTTCTTAGCAATTAAGACAACAAATATTACAGCAATTAAACCATTATTTCAAATTTCAACTAGCTGTTCTCTACACAAACAAATGGTGAGAATTGTTTCTGGATATATACTGTACTTTGAACTGTTGGATATAGTGTTTGTCCAATATAAGAATCTGTCGAGGGCAAAATTTTGCTTCCTCAAAAATTTAAGTTCAAAAACATGCCAAAAAAGGAAGTTTTTAGTCTTTTCCTTTTAAAAAAATAAAAGCAAAGGAAATTTAGTATCTGAAAGTCAGAATACAATCTGACCACAAATTGAAATCATACAAGATTTAGGCCTCTGGATGAAGCTCTAGGTTAGCAGCTCAAGTTAAACAGGATAATTTCCTTTATACCCCTGAAAATTTAAATAATTACTGAAACAAATATGTCCTTATTTGTGAATGCTAATAAGGTTTTGTGAACCTTGCTACAAACCCAGGGCAGATAAGTACATTTTTAAAAAAATCATAATTAGAAACTGGTGTAGAATGCACAAAGTTGGGATGCCCAGCTGAACACTCAATGAATCTTTAATATTTAACACTCAATAATCAAGGAACCTGTCACTGATTCCCTTCCAGTGCACTTTCACGGCTTGCAAAATAAAGAAAAGAATGTAAACACCATTTTACGTCTAGCGCTAATTTAGATATTAAATCAAGCCACTAGCTTTCTCTCAGAAAGAAACATACACAGACACGGAGCAAAAAGAAGAAAAACTGGCTCATCTTGTTTTGCACTGTAGGGGCAAGCGGTTCACATGTTGACTTCAATCATTTTATGCTGTCATTAAGAATACAACTACTTTGGTGGATATGGTCACTATAAGAAAATAAAAATGGCAGTCAACAAAAAGAGCCCATAAGTTAAATCATAAGTCCCTCCTTTCAATGGAGACCTCCACCAACCTTCCTCCATTCACACCCCAGGCATCCAAAAATAAAAAAGAAATTGTGAGCCCTAGTTAGTTCATGATTTTGTGAAAGTAAAGCTTTTGGTTGAAGAGATATGGGAACAAAAGCAATAGATTATGCAATACATGTTATTTGAGAACTTTGAGAGACTTGTGCCGAGGGAAAGCAAATGAACTTGAGGGATGTTGGAATAAGAAAGATATAGCCTTTAGGCATTTAAAGTGGAAAAATATCCAATGCCAAAAGTAGTTGGATTTCAGATTTCAAAAGCATGTCAGTGACAGAAGCAGGGGGATGGTATCACCAGGACTTATCAAGGTTTCTTAAGTCATCATCTTGTCAGTTTCCTATGACCTGAGACCCAAAAAAAAATCTGAAAAATTTGAAATGACCTGCTTAACTAAGCCTAACATACCACAAAAGTGAGCAGCGTCCTAAACAAACCTATTTCTCTGCAGATGATGACCACAATAAAACCGTGTTTCCAAAAAAGTCGATGATGTGTTTATGAGTAGTTTGTGCATGTACAAATAATAAATAGGTCTGTGAAAGCAATATCTTGTAAATGGCCCTGGAAAGAGACAAAAAAGTAGCAAAGAAAGTCAAGGTGAAAATGAAATAGTTATTTGTCCAGGGAAAGAGGTATTATTTTCCTAGATTCCAATGGTTAGGAAATTTTTTATTCCATCATGAAGACTTAGCCTGCAACATTCACAAATCTAAAATAGTTACCACATTTTCACAATAGGGCTGAACAAGGAAATACAGCTGAGTAAATATCTGATAGTAATGTAGTGTCAGATAGATACTCCTCCTCCTTGCTTAACTTCCATTAAGTCTCCAAATCACCAGCCTTGAAGGTTCCAAAAGTCTTTTACATTTTTTAACAAAAAAAGGGCTTAGATTTTATATCACCACTTGGGCATGCATACGAAGTTGTGAAGCTTTGAGGAGATGTGTGAGAATGACAGAAGGCACTACAACCAAACAATGGTTGCTAACACTGGAGCAACAGCAGACAAACCTTTGGATTATTAGCATTTCATTTGGATGCAACTCGTGAGAAAGCTGGGCTTGCTTCCATTTGGGGAACAAAGGGGTTTCAAGCTGGGTAAGGACTACAAAAGCCAACGAAATGAAGTATTTATTATTTCTACTTGGTTTTTAATGTCTTGCTCCAATACCACCTCCCCACCAAACTAAGGACCATAAGATTAAAGGCCGGAAAGTGCAAATATGCTTCCAAAATGGTCTGGTTAGAAGATCAAGCTGGACGGGAGCACATTTAGGATTGCCCAGATCATAACACGGTAGTAAAACAGCTGAATATGGGGAATAGGAAAAAAGTGGCGTCAGTGAGTAATGAGATACAAAATTACATGATAGGAATAATTTTAGCATATTCGTATTTGGTGAAGCACTCCGAAGAGAAGGGGGAAAAAACACAAACGCAGAAATCTCCTCAGTAACAATATAGGTGCGTATTACTATTTTTTTTCTTTTGTGATTGTGTATATTACTGCAAAGTACGGGTAGTAGAGTAAACTACCTGGCAAACCAAAACTGCGGTAGCTCGGGCGCGATCCAACGGGGAGCCATAAACAGCACTGAATCGAACCCCCTGTGACTTTAAGAACACCGCCAGGGCTCTGGCCTGACGCCTCCCGTTGGGGGTGAGGGCCGCCTCGGGGCACCTTCCGGCGATCAAATCAGGCCTGAGATTCATGTGGCACTCGCCGTGACAGATAAGATAGACCTCGGTGAGGGTGCGATCATCGTCCACCAACGCCACCGCATCGGAAGGGGAGGCCCGGGAGAAATGCGGTGGCAGGGAAGGGGGAGGGGGAGGGGGAGCCAAGACATTATAAGGGTCCCAGACCTTGATGGATGGGCCAAGACGGGGAGTGCCCAAGGAGGAGAGCTGAGGGGATAGAGGGGAGGCGGAGGCGTGACAGGGTAACATTTCAGGCTCTTGTTCGAGAACCTTCTTGGCTAGATTGCTGCCCCGCCGTCGCCCAATTGCCTAATCTGATTGGGGTTATCCATATTGTGCGTATTGTCGTCGTCGTCTTCTTCATTTGCTTCCTCCTCCTCCTCATCTTCTTCTTCTTCTTCTTCCGAGGGGACTTGGGCAGACTGGGAAGAGCCCATAATGTTCAGATTTATGGACTGTAGTCCAAGAGATGGGAGCTGGGGGAATTCTGAATGGAGAGCTTTGTGTAATTTTGAAGCAGATCTCCGTTTCTTTCTCCGTTACTTTGGTTTTCGATTGAGATTTGATTTTGAGGGTGTCTAATATTTAATCTTCTTCTACTAGTAAATGAGTCAGTAGCATCAGAATACTACGAAATGGTGTCATGATTCAAACGGGATGGATACATCATACATACATACGGCGTATAATCCTGGTGATATATTTTTTTAAATATAATTGAAAAATCTCAAATTCGGATTTTACACTTGTACTCCTTACCCTGGACCACCCCACCCCTTCATCTCCAATCCCGTGTTAAATTAATTATTTGGATTCTAAAATAAGTATTTTTTTCTCTTTAGATATTTTTTGACAATTTGAATAATTTAAAAAATATCAAGGTTTATAAAATGGATGATGGTTCTCTAAATGGGCATGATTTTTTCCTATAAAAAGAATAATTTCTTAGCAATTTTTTTTTTTTAAAAAAAAAAGAGTCCTTTAAGGAACTATAGAATTTTCCCGTAGCTAGATAGACTACTGCTTTTGCCCAAAAAATTTTTTTAAAAAAAAACGACTACTAATGTGTTTCCTCTTTTAAACTAGACTAGAAGTAGCATCATGTTTGATTGGTTTAGCAATAATCACTCGTATCAAGAAATAGTACTACACTAATAAATCAACTTTGTTTTAGGCAAGAGGCAAGTTGACCAGGAAAAGGGATTCAAAATCCTTTTTGGACTACAGATAGGGAGTCAAATATCGCATCCTACAATTCAAATATTCAAAAATGTGCATTTGGATTTTCATTCGGTGTGGATTTAGTAGCATGAAACATGGGTTTTGGAAGTGGATTGTTGCTTGATCCCAATCTAGATCCAAACTCTTATGAATTTAAAAAAGCAAATCCCTGGGTACCTATTGAGCATTCATAGATTTTTTTTTCTCAACATGAAAAACCAAAGTAAAAATATTAAAAATAACATAAATATCATTTAATTTTTGTTCACAAATAATAAAAATCAACTAATTCTATTTATTTCAAAAGCTTCATACATACGATGCATATATATGTGTGTGTGATCCACACACATATACATACATATATATATATATATATATACACACATATACATACATGTATACATGGATCTAGACAGAATTTGGGTTAAAAAAATTATGTTTGGCCCGTGTAAGATTCAATTCAATCCATTGACATTAGTTTTGATGCCATTTCCTTTAGGTGGTACTGGAAGTAAAGGAATTACAGTTACTACTAGCAATAGTTAGTATATTCTATAGCAAAAATCAAGTTTGATTTGGATTGTGTATTTTTCTAGTGTTTGTCTAAAATTTTATTATAACTCATTCAAAAATTGTTGCCAAAAGCCTTTCTATGTATTTGAAAATATTCAAGGAATAGTTGTAAAACTCCACTACCCCAAGTAACATCTATCCTGGTTACAACACTAACCGGAAACCACCACTACCCTTATCTTATCTAGCGCCCTCTCCTTTATCTTTTCCTTTTTCCACTGCCATCTCAACCTCTATCATACTCACACAACCATCCCACCCTCGTTCTTTCTCCTTGATCCATCCTACCACTCCCTCATCATTTTTTTTGTCACCTACTGTGGCCATATCTTATCTCCCCATATATATATATATATATGTATATATTTATTGCTTTTCTTTCTCCATCTATTCTTTCTTATCTATTTTCTGGCCTAGATTGGACAGGGAAAAGGCAAAAGTCCATGAGAGGGAAAGAGAAGAATGGGGAAAAATGAGGAGAATAAACAGAAATGCACAAGGGAAGAACAAATGAGAGGTAAGTAGGGATGACAGAAGTAGAAAGAGAAGAGAAAAAGGGAAAAAAATGAGAAGAAATGAGAGATGAGAGGAGATGGCAGAAGTAGAGAGGGAGGAAAATAGGAGAATGGGACAATGGAAAATGTGACGATGGTGGATAGGAAGAAGACGACGACAATAATAATGATGGGAAGCACTACAGTAACGGTGGATCGATTGATTTTTTTTTTTGTTTTTGTATATTTTTCCCTAGAGAATTATTATTTAACACGCTAACGTCTCTAACATAACATATAAATAGTACTCCATATATTATTCAAGACGACACTAATAAAAAGTAATCCACATCAACATCAACATTTTGCAACTTCTTAAGAGGTAATCCACGTCAATATTCCACTACTTAGTATATGTACATGTATAATTTGTTTATTTAACATTCTATAGTAATGCTCGTTACAATTACTCGATAGCAATATGTCAGCAAGTATTGTTATTTAACAGTTAATGGTTCTTAACCTATATGTGCGCGCGCGTATACATACACATACATATATATACACACATAAAACTAACATATAAATAATACTCTATCTACTCCATCTACATGACACTAGTAAGAGGTAATTTATGTTAATATCTTGCTGTTGATTAAGAGGTGATTCATGTCAACATTTCACTGCTTACTAAGAGGTAATCCATGTCAATATTCTGCTGCTTAATACATGTACATGTATATTTTATTTGTTTAATACCCAACAGTAACACCGACTTCGATTACTTGACAGTAATATATTAGGAAATAGTACGTACTATAATTACTTGACAGTGATATATTAGCAAGTGAATAGTCAATCTGTTTGGCTGGTGTATTTTTTTTAGTATTTGTATAAAATTTTACTGTAATTTATTGTAAAATATGTAGAAAAAAACTTTTGCATATTTGAGTGTTTTGGGAAATTGAAAAACTTTTTTGTTCTTTTTATTTCTTCTTATTTTTTCCCCTATTACTTCCTCTCCATCATCACTAATCTTCCCTCTCTCTCTCCACTAATGTCATTGTTAGCCCACTACCATACATTCTATTTTGTTTATTTTGTCTCTCGCTCCCTCTCATCTTCCTTCATTCTCCTCTCATTTCCTCTCTCCCTGCTACTTTGACTCCATTTTCTTCCTCACCCTGCCTTTTTCCAAAGAGTTGTTGGAGGAGGAGGGGTGAGGGAAAGGGGATAGCAGGGAAGGGAGAACGGGGGACGAGGTAGGAAAAGGAGAGGATGAAGAGGGGAAAAAAAGAAGAGGGGAGGGTGAGGTTGTGGCGGATGTGAGCTAAGGTGGGAGGATGGCAGTAGATTAGGAAAACGGGCATATGTTTTTAAGTGTTTTGAGGTGTTTATTTTAAAAATTTTGTAATTTTTTTTGAAGGAAAATATTATCTACACTCCAAGTTTTGTTATCACATTCTCACTATCATTTTAATTATATATTTTTTATTTATTGAATTATATGATAAAATAAATCATGGGAGTATAAATAACAAAACATGGAGTGCAGATAATTTGTTATTTGAAAAAATGGGGTAGCAGCAAGTAGGCACTTTAGCAGCATGGGATGTATAGTATTAAGTATATAAAGCGTTAAAGCACTGTAGTACACACGGGTACTTGGTACGAGTAGTAAGTACGTATGTAATAAGTTGACGGGTTTTAAGTATTCAGCGGCGCATAGAGGGGCGGATTGAGTTGGGGACGAGACGCCGCCGCGCTCGATGTCTCTGTCTCTCGTTAGACTCACAGCGGTCCGTCCTGGATTCAAAAAACTCTCGATTCCTGTTGGCGTATTACCATTAGAGCATCCCAATTAGGCGGCGGTCAAAAGTGGGGAGCGGACTCTCTTCGACCCACATCCCCCAACCCAGAGATCCTGGCCACATTTTCTTCTCCTCCATTCGCACTTAAGGTATGTAAATCCTCCAACTTCCTAAATTTTATTTCCTTTTCTGCGTCTTTCTTTCATACTATTCCCAGAAACGGCGCCAAATCCGCACATTTCTTGGTAAGGAAGGAGAGAGAATTTCCCATTATCGTTCCATAAAACCAAAGTAATACTCCGTAGTTGATTTGATTTTCTATTTCCTAATTGAATCTTTCGTCTTTCTACGTGTCGAGAGAGCCGAGCCCAGCAATAGTACACATGGTAGCATTACGATGGGTGAGAGAGAGGCTCAGGCTCAACTCCCCCCGACTTTGTTGTCTTCCAAATTCCAAGCTCTCTTGATGAAATCCCATTTCGTCGTCTATGCCTCATCTGCTTCTTCTTCAACCCAACGCCCCCAAATAAATTACTAGTGTACATGTTCCCATTTGAGGAGGACAAAGATTAAGCTACTCCCTAAGGCCTTCATTTTCATTTCATCTTTCTCTTGAACCCACATTCCTATTTTTGTTCCTAAAACTGTAAGCAATTCCAAGTTCGGTAACATTAGCAACCTATTGTTTCCTTCTACTTCAATTTTGATTTCCATTTTCTGTGGTTTCGTTTATTTGGACTAATTGATTGACTATGCATTTTGCAGGTTGTTTGATTAGCTGATCGGAGCCTTTCCAGATTTATATATTTGCAGGGAGAGCTTTGTATTGGCTCTCTCTGCTCTATATCATACCCTAGTCTGCCACTCTATTTGTCGAACTAACTCAATTTTTATTGGCTGGTTTTTTGCTGAGCTTATTAGAAGATAGCTCTTTACTTCATTATCATGGCAACTTCGATGCATTCTGTATGTGGAGTTAAAACTCCTTTCCAGGCGTCCCCTGGAGATGCTCGCGCTTCCAACCACTTCTTCAGTCCCAGCAACGCTTTGAGTCTTCTGTCTCCTTGCTTTCTTTACCTGGGGGTTTTTCATCCCTCAAGGTATCATATCAGGAACGAGATATTAGAGTCCGATGTCAAGGAGGAAATCTCCACATTCTTGAACGCGGCCAAACTGAGACCCATGATTTTGAAGAATCAGCTAACGAATTGACCTGTGTGATGAAGTTTGGTGGATCTTCAGTTGCCTCTGCTGAGAGGATGAGAGAGGTTGCTGATCTCATATGCAGCTTCCCTGAAGAGAGGCCCATCATTGTTCTCTCTGCCATGGGGAAGACAACTAACAATCTTT